AATGTTCATAATAACTTTTCATTATGTTTTTTAAATAAATATTATGACATAAATATGTATTATTATTATATATATTATTGCTATTTAAAAATTGAATAACTATTAATTATAATTATCCATATTTTAATTAGCGGTGATTTAATTTTTTTTATTTAAAATATTAGTTCTCTTTTGAAATACAAGCGGTTCATGCGTATTTATATTATTTATCTAATGCCCTTTTACTCAAAAAATAATATATTATATGTTTCTCTTTGATTTTATACTTTCTGTATTGTTCCATATTGTCTCTCTTTTATTTCTTTCACTTTTTTTCCAGCACCTTTCCTCATCCATTTTATACATTTTCCTTCGTCATTCATTATGATTTCCTTATGTGCCTCATTTCCGTTGTTTTTCTTGAGTATGTATTTAAATTCTTTAACTTCTTCTATTTTTCGTTCACCCCACTGCCATTTGACCTTTTGTTTACGTACTCTGCCTTTTCTGTATATTAAAATCTTTGATTTTTCTGCATTTAGTTTTAAATCCTTCTCGTTGAAGAATCTTCGTAGATTTTTCAACATCTTTTTTATTTCTGTCTCCGTTTCTGCGATCATTGTTAAATCATTTGTGTATACCAGTGTGAATACTTTTTTTCTTCCCACTATCGTACCTCCTCCCTGTTTCCTTCTCAGATATTTATCTATCTTCGCAATGTATATTATAAACAAAAGTGGATTTAATGGGCACCCCTATCTAAGACCCTTCTTGGTCCAAAATACATCGATTCTTCTGTTGTATAACTGTACTCTGTTCTTTGTTTCTTTGTTTCCTTATATATTTCTTCTATTCTTTCTATCAGTCTTGTGTTTATTTCTTTGTTTCTCATGTTTTTTCACAGTTTCTATTTTAACAAAGGCTGCTTTTAAATCCGCAAAGAATACATATAGTTTGCGAAATAGACTGCAGAAAATAGCTATCAACGCGAAAAAATAAGTTTTTATCGCATTTATTACGTATTATTTCGATGAAAAAATAAATTTTTAGTTTTAATAGCAAAACTCGTATATTAAACAAGAATTATCGTCGTAAACGATGCGATATGTGTTTACAAGGCTATCACACTGGCAGCTATCGCCAGTTATTGACCCTGAGACATAGCGCAATCGCGTTTTCGTTTCTTGCGATGTATCGCGGCAAATTCATACAATTCGAAATTTGATAGAAAATATTATTATATTGACTTATTTTTATTTATTAAAAATATCTATTATGTATCTATAATGATACCAAGGATGTTATTGTTTATCGAAATTAGTATAAATTCATCGGATGTATCTGCTCTACACTTGAGATTATAATTAAATTATACTTAATCACTATTTGAATATGTAATCTCTCAAATTTTTGCATCGTCTATACATAATATGTACATATCGGTAATTAATAATATCAAGATCTGATCACATCTATAAAAATTTATAAAAATGTATAGAATTTGCAATACATAAAAAAACGCAATTTTCGTGATTTGAAGCTGTGATTAATTCAAAGCAACCGTTGTAACATTTCCGTGTATGACCTAAAGTATTTTATCACTAGGAAAATGGCACCCAATATCTTCAGCATAGAACCCAAGATGTGCACAGAAAATAATTTTCAAAGAAAGAAACCTTTAACAATTGCAAAAATGACGGAAAATGAAAATGGCATAGAAAATGAAAATAAAATCCATACAAAGGTTAAAAAATGGTTTAATTTTAAGACAGAGTTGAAGTGGATAAATATCGCATTTTTTTTTCTTTTACATGGTGGTTTCCTGTATGTGTTGTTTAATTTTAATTGGCTTGAAAATTGGAAGACAACCATTTGAAGTAAGTATATTCTTTGGAAGATGATTAACTTCGATTTTTCTTCTAGAAAAACTTTAAATAAACATAAAACCAGTTTATTAATGAATTAATAATTCTTCTACATTCTTTTACACGTAGATGGATGTTTTAAATATGATGATTACAATTACATTGCACATTTTTTTAAAACATTAATATTATCTTTAGCAATTATTGGTTTGATTAGAAAGTAAGCAATGAAATACATACACACACACACACATATATGTATATCTATATCTATATATATATATATATATATATATATATATATATATATATATATATATATATATAT